ACAGGCTCCTCAGGTAAGACTACACCCCTGCATACTCCTCAGTACCACCACACTTTAGTAATAATGTGTTCCTAAACAAATATCATGGTCAGGTCTGAACCTGTACCTGAGCTGAAGGGTGACAATGTTGATGATTAGTGCTGTGTGTCTGTAAAATCCAGCACAGAAATAGTAAAATTCTTTAGGTACAAGTCCAAAATTCTGGACCGCTAATATGCGGGGAATGGAAATAATTAGACCTTAAAGAACCTACCGGTAGTACACATGTCAATGATGTCATTGTCTTTATTAAAGTTCAACCATTATGTGAACAAGGAGTTCAAGTACATGTCTGGACCTGTACCTAATTTAAAGCTGAGTACCTGCACCTAAAATTGTGTAACTAAACATGATCTGCTGCTGATGTTTGGTTTAGATTGTATACATGTTTGTAAATGCTATCTTGAAGTAAGTTAGTGCTTTTGTAAGTTGCACCGTAAATAACATGTGACATGTTTCTCAGTGATGTGAATCAATGTTTAATGATACTTTTGTTCAATCATACAGGAACTGACTCCGAAGAAGGACTCCAAATCAACACCAAGACATCCAACATGCAAACACAGAACAGACAGCCTTACCCAGGGTGCATGGCAGCAGTGGAGTCAGATGTGGATAGGATTGTTTATACATGAGCAGTTCTACAACATAGTATTTCCCAAAAGTTAACATTGTGATGTGCCATGTGCCGCAGGTGGTCAGTATTGATAGAGACCATAGGTTACTGTATTTTGCCTTATTTTGACAAACATTTAGATTTGTTTTTGTGTCTGATGGTTGTCAGATGATTCGACACAAGCTATTAAGGTCTTATTACTATATTAGCCATACCAGAATGTGTACTGTAAAATGTATTCCAGTTCCAATCTCCAGTGATTTAATATGATGACAATGATACATTTTACATTGTGTCGCAAAAAGTCACTGATATTGTGGAAAAAGAGCAAAACAATGCAAGCTCCACTGAATGTCAACCCATATACAAAATGTATCACAAGCCAGTTTTGTAATTTCCTTTTTATGTCAGTGTTTCTTTGAATAGTTTTCATGCTTTTTATCATGTGGGATATAATGACATGTTAAGGGTGACAAGTTGGTATGGATTTTCCATAGAACATGTGACAACTTTTCCTGGTACATGTTAAACCAAGTGTATAGTTTCTCAAAGGCTGTGTGTTAGTACAGAATTATAATATTGATAATATATTTAGATTGTGTCTGCTGATATTCTGTGTGTTCATGAGAAATGCTGCTTGTATTTATTATTATTCTGTTGTATGTGTATGTATATGTCTTTGAGTGTTGTTAGTACAATACAGGTGGTCATTGATCATTTGAACATTATAAGAAACAAGTGCATAACTTGTACGTATAACTTTTACTTACTTGTATGTAATGCTTATTTGCATACCTTTTAGAAAAGGTAACTGCCAATTTATGTTTAATTTTTATGCTTTTTAAATAAATATTTCTGAGTTCTGCCCAGAACCCATTTCCTGTGCATGTATGTAATTCAGGGGAGTGATACAACGTAATTAAGGAAATATGGGTAAAGGGGGGTAAATATGGCAAGTCGTTCTGGTAAGGGCATGTACGCGTAAATACGGGTAAATTCAACTAAATGTCAGAAATACCATGCTCGGTAAATCTCGGTAAATACCTAAAATGAAGAAATACCCCATATGGTAAATCTCGGTAAATGCCTGAAATGCATGTGAAAAATACCCCATATGGTAAATCTCGATAAATATATGTGAGAAATACCGCACACGGTAAATCTCGCTAAATACGTATTTACACGAAACCGGTAAATGTGGGTAAATAAGGCAAACATTACCACCTATACCATGCGGGTAAATATCGGGTAAATTTGCAGATTTACCGACGGGTAAATGTTGGTAAATCACTGGTAAATGTAACCTTTACCCGGCTTTACATCACATTTACCTTGGTGGTAAATCCCACTTTTCGTGCAGTGACAGATACACAATATAATGTATAGAATGATTTAGATGTTTGACAAAATGTTTTTTTTTTCTTACCATGTGCGATCTTGCCGGCGCCGCACTCATCCGGGCTCTGGATGCTGACGTGGAAGTTCGTGATTGGTCGGCTGTTGTCGTTGGCTTTCAGGCTTACTGTAGAATGAAAATATAACCTTATGTTATTTCTTGTTGTAGCTCCTACTACTCATTACGTCATAATAAGTACTACCTAAAACGTTTATAAGAATTTAAAGCTACCCTGAGCTTTTACATCTTTTGTACTTCAAGGTTTTTTTTTTTTATTCCGTAAACATGTAATCACAAGACGTGGTGACGACACACTCAAGTTTTTTCAACTTATATTAATGCCGACACCAACACAGGGACAGTACAATACTCATTTACACCTGAGCGAAGTGAGGAAAGTCGTGTAAAGTGCCTTTCCCGG